AGCGATGTGGGGAAGCGGTAAAGCCTTTGCATCCTCCTGCCCGAAGGCAGGGGTGAGCATTAGGCCCTGCCACGCTACTGGAGTTTTCAGTGATGCTCCGGAGCCATCGGCATTTCTTCTCTTCACCTCGGTAACACTGTCCTGAAGTGAAGCTTCGACTGTGGGCTGACTGCTGATCACATGAATATTTTAGTTGCAGCGTTGTTTTAGATGAACAAGGCAGAGCATTATTGAAGAATGCCTGCTTTAATGGTGTTCCCTTTCAGTGATGTTCCTTTTCTGTGTAGCCTTTTGTGGCTCACCAGTCCAAATCCTCCTGTGATCAACTGGCATGCTGCTTGTAGCAGGAGGAGGAGCTGGGACTCTGGCCAGGATTAATTTTCTGTGTTGGGAACAGACTTACTAGTAACTGGAGATACTGGTTGGTGGTGCTTAGCAAGGCTTGGTCTGCCAGTTCCTTGCAGATGGTGGTGGAATGCCTGTGCTGTTCTGTCCTCTATCGATGACCCAGGCTGTGTTTGAGTGCTGTGTTTACACGGGAACACAGGTACTGGTTGGACAGATTGTACTGATAGCGCAGGCTCTGGTCAGAGCTTTAGAAGCATTTTGTTTATGGTGGTCTTGTCTGATCAGGGCTGAGGTACACGTTAAATCTTTGGGTTTCAGGGTTACACAGGCAGCACCCCCTGCCCTTGGGTGAATCAAAGTCACCATGGTGGTTAGGAGAGAGCAGCCAGGGTAGGCAGCAGGGTTGGGTTTACTCTGGAGGTAGCCTGGCTAGGGGCTTGTGTCACACTCTCTGTGTGTACAGAGTGATAGGCAAGGTGGTTAGCAGTAACTGCATCACACCGTGTCCATACTGGTGGTGCTGCCTGCGTGTCCCTGCCTCCATCATGCCTGTGTGTTCACTGCTCAGCTGCGTGCCACCCTGCAGGAATCCCTGCTGAAACGTGTCAGGCCCAGCAGCAGCTTGAAGCGCCAGGGCCTTGTTCCATCCAGAGCTGAGAACCTCACTTGAGTATGTTCAGTGATGCAGCTGAAGCCATGTGCTCGATAACTGTATGGTCATGCTTTTAATTACCATTAAAATAATTGGCACTGTGGCTACTGGGAGGATGTGAGAAGATCAGAGGCTCAAGGCTGTTTCTCCTGGTGCCTCGGGGGTACGAGCAGCTTTCAGTGTCTGTATAATTAAAAGCTACAATCTTTCATGTGCACAATAAAGAGGGGTGGGAGGTGGGGAGACTTCAGCCCTTTTGCATTTTATTTATTAAACATAATCAATGACCAGTCTCTTTCCTTCACAAGGGTTTTAGGAAACACTGATGTTTGACAGTTGTGCTCCAGTATCTGAAGATACAGAGGTGCTGTTGAGACTTCTTACACTAAAAACCTTGAACTGGCTTGTTACCAGGGGTTGGTGTGGGAAGGGAAGTGCCATTGTTGTGCAGGAGAGCTGTTTCCTCAGAGTCCACTTTCACTGGCAAGTCCATCCCTGCCTGTCAGTGCCAGCAGGGTTCTGGCAGTGATCTCACTTTTCCTTGTCCTGCTCACGGCACTGGTGCCTCTCTTTGCCCAGAGCTGCTTCCCAGCCCATGCCCTGGGCACACCACGCTGTGCCCTTTGCACCAGGCTCCCTTCCCTGCTGCTTTGACCTGCTGCCCTGTCCTGTGCTTCAGATTCCTGTTGACCACAAGCTGCTACTCATCTGACAACACTGGTCACCTCTGCTCTGGTTCTCTGGAGTGAATCAAAAGGCAGCAGGAGAAAAGATTTATTTACAAAAAAACCCCAAAGCTTTGACCCTCCCAGCGCCAGGAGCAACAGTTCAGAGCCATACCAAACCCCTGAGCAGGGAACCCCAAGGTATATGTACACTAGTAGCACATTTTAAATGGTGATGTACAATCCACTGGGGTGTGTGGAAGATTTAACTCTTGAGCACTGAAGGTTTGGTGGAAAAGGCTCTTCCTGGCCCTTGTAGGGTGGGGGAGACACAGGATGGGACAGAGGGATGTGTGCCTGCAGTCTGCCCAGGAATGTCTGCATAAAAGAGGTTCTAGCTCTTGTCCTGGACTCCAGCGGTCAGACACACATTCCCATAGCCTTTTCCAGGGAGAAACAGTAGAAGCATTCATGTTTCCATGTCTGTTTTCTGTCTTTCAGCTGCGGGAGCTGGTCAGCATGTGCATATACCCTGATCCAGATCAAAGACCTGACATTGGTTACGTGCACCAAATAGCAAAACAAATGCATGTTTGGACCTCCAGCACATGAACCATCTGCAGACACGCGCAAGAAGCAGCACAGCTTAGTCTTACTTGAATTTTTTTTTCTCAGATGAAACCGACTGGTGCCTAGTCACTCAAGCGAGAGGGTTGAGCACTCGTACCAAGATGCTCCATTATTTCTGCAGGTTATTTGACAAGGACTTTTACAAGGTGGTCATGCTTTAAAGGGAAGATTCTGTGAGGTATTGCAAGTGATTTTTTGTTTTTGTTTTTTGTTCAAGGCCAATAATGTGTTACAGATGTAGATCATATAAGGGTCCTTTCTTAAAACTGTTGTGTGTAATCTAGGCTAGATGATATTAACAAGGTGTCGGAGCATTTGACACGCCCCTTCTATCTTAACTGTAATGTGAAATATTGAAATAATTCCTTCAGTGAAATCACTTTATACTAATGTAAGAATTACAGTAGATATTGTGTAATTTGTATAACTGCTACTTTGCCTCTTCTGCAAATGGTTAATAACAAATTCAGTTTTTACTTCGTATATTTTAAAGCAGCCATTTATGTGTTTTTATTAATTCCCTCTTCTTCAGACTTAGGAACTGGGAAGGGTTTTGGGGAGGGGGGTGGGGAAACACATTTGTTTTGAGATTACTCTTTTTTAATGGAAAAGTTAGAGTGAGTATTTTGCTGATGCATTTAATCTGTTGACTTGGCTGCAGCCAATGAGATGAGTTAAGCATGTACCTGGAGAAAAAAAAAAGAAAACCATGCCAAACCACCTGAAACAAGCATTGCTTTTGCAAATAATTGCTCTTTAAACTTATTTTTCCATTTGGCATGATTCTTTTTAGACTACATGTTCTTGTTAAAAAAACAGTGTTTTATCTATGCCAACTAGCTTTTGGTGAAGATGCTTCTACACATTCAGTCATACCTTAGGTACTGTAGGTAAAACTTAAGCAAAGCAGTGTTTAAACACTTTTTAAAAGATTTCCAAAGTAAGTGTAAAATGGGTTGTGCACCTAAGTCTACATAAGGATCAGCCCCTGTCTATATAACTGTGAAAGCTCATTTACAGAATGTGAATTTTTATAAAAATCTCAACCTGATTTGAAGGAGTCATCTTCCTAACTACATGAAAATTTTCCAACAACTAAATTCATTCATTGAATCAATGATTTGTTTCCTTACTGTCGATGGAAAACATTCACTGCTTTAGGAACAAACGTGGATTCACGTTCAAGTGTTTCCATTTCATTTGCCTATTGGGAGAAGCAGGGCTGCACTTCCCATTCTTGAGGGCTGCAGCAGGGGAAATAAGGACACCTGTACTGTTACAGCACTGCTTCTGTGCGATGGGGGCGAAGGCCAACATGTACATTTGTGTGTGACAGTTCAAATGCAGCCTGTGCCTGTGTTTTTTTGGGGTTTTTTTTTCCTTAAGAAAAGCATACAATTCTTAATTTTTTTGGAAATAAGATTAGGGTTAGAGGGTTACATACATATATATATGCTTTTAGTGGATTTTTTTTTAACCTAATTTGCTCTACTTAAAGGAAAACTGCAGTGCCATCTTTACTCCACAATATTTATATAGGGTAGCAAAGAGAAGCTATTAATTGCTGTGAATAATGTTGGTATCATTAATGCAAGGTGCCATTTTATTGAATCTCCTCAGCAGAAAGTTGAGCCTGCTGCTCTCATGAGAGATTTAGGAAATTCAAATCAGCAGGAGAATGTGGTGGAGGCACCAAATTGCTTCCACCATTCCTGTGCTCATGTGTTTAATTTATACCCAGCTTCTTTAGCAATGCTTAGATTTACAGCAGAAGGCTGTCACTCTTACACTGCAGATTTCCTTTAAGCCATGGTGGCAGCTACACATTCAGAGGGATGGTTGTGCTGCGCCTCTCGGTGTAACACAGAAAAGGATCTTTGGCTTCCAGGGAAGCTCAGCTTAAATATGAGTGTCTTGAGAAGTCTGGTCACTTTCTTGCTACATAAAATTTATTAGTGCTTATAAGTAAATGTATTTCAAAAGGTAATTTTTTGCAATTGTGCATTTTTAGATAAATAAAAAAGTGATTTACAAAATAAACCTTTGTTAAAAAAAAAAGTCTAGTATTAAGAAAAATGTTTTTTAAAATAACAAACAGTAAAACCAAGCCTAAATCTGTATGAAACTGTTCCTAACAGCTATTATGTATAGATACTTTTCCAGAAGATGGACAAATGGGCTACATAACCTCCAGCAGTTGTCCTGATAGAAGACAGCTTTTAGGGTCTTTACCCTCTACAGTGGGTAAGGCTGCAGGATGCTAAGCCTGGTACCATTAACCTTGTGACTACATGAGAAAATTCTTCTGCACGTAGATTTTTTTCTGCTAGCTTCTTTTTCAGGATTGTGTTTTAAACAGTTTGAAAGCAGTTTGTCTCTAATACTACAAGGGCAAAAAAGCTCAAGTGGAAGCAAGTAACAAGACAATTAGACTTTGAATTATGCTGTTGTCAGTCATGTAAATTAGAATGAAAAGGTATGTACCAGTGTGGAGGGTGGATCTCTTCCCAGTCCTGTCTCTATCTACAGAAAATAGGGAAGAATTGACATAGCCACTGCTCACCAGTATTGCTTCCCTGCAGTAACATCCTTTCCAACCTCACCTTTCCAGCAGGATAAGAAGGGAAAAGCAGCAAAAGAAATCAGCACCACCCAAAAACACTCATGAGGAAAATGATCAGAACCTTTTTATTCTGTATCTTGATAGGGGAAGGCTTCTAAACAAACCAGTGCTCAGCTCCAGTGACAGACAGCTCAGGAAGTGTCCATGGTTTGTACAGTCTCATCTACCACCTCAATTTCCAGGAGTGCCACATTTTCTGTGAGAACAGCAGTAGTTCCTTTTTCACACTTGTATCTACCATACCTGTTAAAAAAATAGGTGAAAATTAAGCTGAGAGATGGTACTACATAGGAAAACTCTCATTTAAAATTTTAGAACTAATCAGCTTTCTCTAAGATTTTCCTGTCAGAGTTCCCAAAGAGTTCCATACTTGAACATTTATGACTTGAAGATTTAAGAGATTCAGAATTACTCTCTTAAGGAAACAAGTGACAGAATAACAACACCCCCTTGGTGAAGGATTTATACTGTTCCACATGCTGTGCAACCCTTCCGTGTGCTTTAAGGAAATGAACAGTGAGAACTGTAAACTCTGGGTGGTGGGGGCTATACAGAAGTCTTTTTGATGTGGCTTGCCAAATGAAAGAGCTAGAGAAAAGAAAAAGCACAAGTCTCAACCATTTCCACTGTATAGAGAAGACTGATTAGGAAAGCATGAATGCTTACCAACAGGGTTTAGTTTGTTTATACACAAAATGGGTCCAACTTAAAAAATCTTCTGCATGCTAGATGTGACTGTTACCTGCAAACTGTCCTTTTACCACAGCACAGTATATTTCTGGACAATTGAGGAAACTATAGTGATCAAAACAATCTTGCAACAAGGCTGTTTTCCAGCCACTGCCTAGAAAGGGCCTACTAGAAATAGAATAAAACACAACCCAGTAGTCGCAGATCAGCATTGTGGAGTTCTCTCTTGGTTTTTGGATTTGTCCCTGCACTGAGTTTATGTATAACAGCTCATGGCAGGCTCTGTTCCCCCATATTGCTTTTTCAAATCCCACACTAAATTGGGCAGAACTACTGCAGGTACAGCCACTAACTTTTTTCTTGTTTAGTTGAAATTCATATACAGACCTCAAGATTACTTTGACACAATTCAGTATTACAGAGAATAGGAATTGTATACATAATGCCCAGCTTCAGAAATACTAACCTGTCCCCCTTTCTGTTGGCCACATCATATGGACGGAGAAAATCCAACTTGTTCTTGCTTATAACACAGATATCTATGTTATTGCCAGAGCCCAGATCATTGTATATGCCAGCTGCAATGGCATCTCTCACAAGCTGTTTGGCTTCCTCTTCCTAGAAAAGTTAAAAAAGCTGTCACTGCACAAGTGTTGGCATTTCACAGAAATGTTTGTCCATGTGGCAGTGGAAGCTGTGAGCTCTCAGAACATTAAATGATACACCAGCACCTTCTTAATCACCGGAGCACTGCAGAGTACAACCAGCAGTGCTGAACAGGAGCACCATCTACCCGTACAACCTTTTGTCCTGTTCATGATCCAGCCCCCCCGCAAGATGGATCAGACTTAGCAAAGACAGTCAAGGAAGAAAAATTAAATTCTTGTCTTGATGAATGGAGAAAAATAAATTTGACAATGTTCACATTCCAGGCTTTTGTGCACACGTACAAGTTCCCTATAGTACCCTCTGTGTAGCAGCTGCATACAAATTCACACTATTTTAGTTACAAGATCTCCCTCAGTAGGGACCATCTAATCATCCTCTGTAGTACCAAAATTATTTCTATGATTTTGTAACATAGCTTGGTTTGCAAAATTTATTCAGCTCATCTTAACAGTAACTGTGTTGCAAAGCAGCCTAGTTCTGTACTGAAATGTACCTGGCTCACACTAATTCTAGTCCTGAATACAAGTGCACAGACTGTAAAAAAAAAAACAAACCTGTTGAAAATACTGGTCAAACCAGGTACCCTCTGTCAAAATCCTGCAATTTGTAATTAACTTCTTACCATTTCAGTGACAAAATGGAAAACATCCTACAACCTCTTTTCTGCTGTATACTTCAGAAATTCTATGCATAACTAAAGCAAAACATAGTTAATATAGTTCCTGTAATGCATAATGTATTTATATATTTCAAAAGCACACATATTTCTAAATTACTTTGCAACAAAAATAGAAAGCTAGGAACAGGAAGTAAAGCTCACTATTTTTATTGCTTCTGAAACCACACACTAATCCTGCAGAAGTTCCAACATTTGCTTTCTTACAGGTTTTGTACATCTACTTTCTTTTAAAAAGGCAAACACGTGCAGCTGCTGAACTACACATGCTGCACCTCACTGCAAGCAGTTTACTATTTAGAAGCTGCCTACACAGCCTGAAACAGTGCAAGAGTGTCTACATTACATAAACACAAAATAACACTCAGATGAGTATCTTTTACAAGGAAACACTTCAAACAACCTCTCTTAAAATATTACAACAGCTCTGTAACCATGTCCATTCCTGACCCCCCCCCCCAAAAAAAAATGCAGAATGGCATTGATGTGAAGGCATCAGAAATACGAGTTTTGATACGCCCGGCAGCCTGCCCTAGAGAGGGAGGTTATTACAGCAGCACTGGCTCCCTCTACAGATCCCAGGCAGGGCTCATTTTTATTTCAAAGGCAGCTTACTGAAAAAACCACAGATCAGGTCCAGGTCTACTAGACATCATCTGACATGGCTAGCAACTCCTTAGCTTTGCACTGTAACTGGAGCTGGCAAGCATGAAGAAACCTTGCAAAACGACTTCCTTGATGTGTCATTTTAAATCTTGTACAAACCAGGTCCAGGCATCTGTTGGCAGCACCTACATGTACCAGCCCTAGTGACAGGAGATGAAGTATGGCTGGGCAGAGCCTGAGCCCACTGTCCCGCACCTCTTCCAACAGCCCTGCACCACTCGCTAGGAGACAAAACCAGCAAGGAAGGTCCTGCACCTTCAGCTCCACTGAAGCCTGTGCAGAGTAAGTGCCAGTGCTCCTGTCACCTGGCAAAAGTGGCAGAACACAATGAAAAACAGACTGTCTCCATATATACACCCCCAGCCCCTTGATCTTTTCAGTAGCCTCTCAAGTACATACCAGAGCACAAAAGACACCTTAATTCCTCGCAAAGGTGTGTAAAGAACTTGACAACTATGACTAGAGCACACCTGTTCCAGTGAAGCAAGAGTAAGGCAGACACCTCTATGAACACAAACTTGGGCTCTGATTTATCCTCATTTACAGCAGTTCCTGCTCAGCTAGCTCACCTTGATCATAACTGAACGCTAAGTTTATCACTCCTCATCACTTTGCTGGTGTTTCACACCTTTGAATAATCTCCTGCCACTAGCCACCACCCACAAAAGAGCAAATACTCTATGCTGATTTTGATAAATGCAGCTTTTTGAAATTTGCTTCATTTTGAAAGCCTTGGTGCCTCTGCCCGTCTCCTGCCACATCAGGAGAACAATGCCCAGATCCACAGCCTGCTCCTAGAATGGCCGATTCTGACAGCAGCTGCACAAGCCCCAGCATCCAAGTGCAGCTGAAGAGGAGCCCAAAATTAGCTCGGTTACAGTCCTGTCTGCTCCCAGTGCATGCTTTGCATTCTCCCATGGCCCTCTAGAAAAGAGCTTGTTAACAACAGTATTCCTGTTCCAACAGCTTAAGGTATTCACCAGGAAAGGGGCTTTTTTTCCCCCCAGTAAACTATAGAAATAGCATAAATTCTTATTTCACTCCCAGTTTTATTAGTATTACTCAAAAAAAAAAATTGAATTATACTTTCACCAAGCTGACTAGAACAGCCATGCTGTAAAAGTAATTCCTGTATCTTTCTTCAGTGCTTTTTGGTAATAAAGCTCTGATAACCAAGTATTTCCTCATTCAGCTGATAAAAGACTACTTTCACTGATTTGTTGCATGTAAGGGTATTTTAGTACCATAGTGACAGCAAACATACTAAAATAAAACAAAGTAGTACACGTAGATATCTTAAAAATTAAGATACCTGAATAATTTTAGGCTATTATGTGAGCAGTAGCGTAAGACAAGCACTGCAGCTTAGGAAAACTACAGCAGATTGGTGGGAGTTATCACTCTCCCTTTTCATTTTCAATTAATCTGTCTTAGACAACAGTGTAAATCTCAGTCCTCTCACTAATTTAAATTTTATTTACTTTTTAATTATGTACTCTATCAACCTACTGTTACCAAAATAGTTCTAAATATGCAGTAGAGTCAGTAGAGCTCCGCTGTAACTGCACTAAGGCACTCGCTACGCTGAGAAAGTCTAAAATGTGATCGCAGCTCCTTCTTCTGCTGTAGTGCAGCCTAGTTCACGAACCTGGAATGATACTAATTTTACAAAGCCCTACTTCAGTACTGTTTAGTCCTCCTCCTCTTTTATAATTTAGAAAGAGGACCAGAACAGCCACAAGGAAAAAAAAACCACAACATGCCTTGATAGAGATCCCGCATACAAAGTTCTAGCAAGGACTGCAACTTTACAATCAGAAAATAGCAGGTTATCACAGAAAGTGCTGACGCAGGCTTAAGTACAGGGGCAGGAATGAGTCACTGTAATAATTAATCTTAAAAAACCCTAAAAGTTCAGAGTATGTAAAAGGAGCACTTCCTACTTTATGGTTGCAAAGACCATGCTAACTGGGAATATCATTCTCTTGGGTCCGCATTGCTTCTTAAATGAGATTACAGCAAGAGTGATGTACGGTAATACAAGTCAGTTGTGACAAGCAGCACTTTATGGAGCTATCCGTTTGTCTCCATCACCACATCACACAATGTGTCCCAGGACTCCAATGTGCAACTCCATTTACCACTACATGACAAATGGGCAGCACTTGTAAAAGGCGCAAAGAGGTCCAGATCAGCCGTGTAATGGTCACCACAGATGTACCGTAGTGCTTGAGGGGGGGGAAGAGACCCCCAAGTTCATTAAAGTGACCAGTAATGGATCTTTCAAAATGTGTCTTAGGAATAGTACAGTAAAGGCTAAAATAAATAACTCAGCATGGAAGGCTAATCTGAAATGGTGTTTGATAAATTATTTATAACACAGACAATTGTCTGCATTTAATATTGGAGCTACTGGTAGCATCTTTAAAAGATGATTTATGTGTTGTAATGCCATTAAGCTTTATATGGGCCCACTGCTAGCTATAAAGTCTGCTGAGATTTAGAGAATGAGTTTTAAACTGTCACTGCAACATCATAGTAGATAGAGACTGTATTAAATCTTTACTTTAAACCTGTTATCTGGAGAGTTGCATTTTGTAGACACTCAGGAACTGATAGATTACCTCTCTACAGCTGCTACGGTACAAGTCCCCAACAGCACCAATGAGGAACTTTTACACATTATTCTTGTATATGACTCAAATCAAGTTTCTCTTCTCACTTAAGCAATTTCCAGATTTCAAATGCTACAGAAGTAAAAGAGAAGATACTTTCCTACAGAAGATGGGGATATTTCTACATCATATTAATACTGTCTTTACTAATAGCTTCTAAACAAGTTTATTATTATACTTCCAGCAGTAAAGGGAGCAGCTGAACAGCTTTGTCAATATTATTTCCTCAACATTTTGTAACTTCCTAAGTTAAACAGATGTCTTTTCCAGATTTAATAACTGTAGAAAGGATTTTATTTTTTTTAATTCTTACAAAGTGAAATTACTACCTTCTGCAGGTCATTAGTATCCTGTGACTATGTGATACGTAGTGCAGTTCTCCAATAAGAATTCTTACCAAGAATTTGAAATATATTACACAATATAAGTATAGAATTAATATGATAGTGTGTAACAATTTTTGTGAAAATAACTTTCAAATATTTATCACAACTGTCTTTTTACAACAGAATGAAATTTGTTCAAATTATATAATGTAAAAGGCCAATCCTACTTAACATGAGAATCCACAAGACTCATGTGGGAAGGGGAAGGAAAAAAGTCAGAAGCTTCAGGAAGGACAATGATAATAAATATAAGTCTATAAAGGAGTGTTGGGAATTTGGGGCTGGAAAGCGATACCTCTTGAAGGACACAAGCACCTACAGAAGCATAATTAGACTTTGGAAGAGTAATCAGACTACAACATACGAGAGGATATACAAGTCTGCCTGTTGGGAGAAGTTGTGGTAGAAATCGATATGTAACTAGAAGCAATGCTAAAACCTGCTGGCTAAGTCCAAAGAGATAACAAAACTGAGCAGCAAAGTACTTGGTGCTTTTCTTGTAAGGGCAGGTTGAAAAACCCCCATTAGTGAGAATGAATTTGGCCT